TTTGGTTTTGTAGTGGTTTGGCTGAGTATAAATTATGGTATTTTACCTTTTTCAACCTTGACTTATTTTGTTTTCTTCAGATAATGACCACCCTGTACTTACTACAGGGCCATCGTCGTGTTCTGTTTGCACTTGTTATCTATATGGTAAATTTTAGTTAAGTTTTTTTATTTGATTTAAGAGATTAAATCAAGTTTTATTGTAAATATTTGTATTCTAATAAAGATCTTTTTTGGTAGATATATTTTAATAAAACTCGATTAGAAAGGTTGGTCATTGTATTAGTATGGGTTGTATAACATTTGAAGTGAGAATTTTTGAGAACGAGGGTAAGTATTCCTAGCTTCTTCTTCTTTCTTTTTTTGATAGTCGAAGTAACCATTCACTAGAAATATTTTTCTTAAGGCTATGTTTGTTTTGAAGGAAAAAGTAGGGAAAGGAAGGGATCTTTCCCTACTTTTTCCTTCAATCCAAAACACAACTTAAAGGATTGATAGACACTTGTATAAAGTGGAAAGCTTATGTCTGAAGTATGTTTATATGAATGTATGTGTGCGAATGACCTAGTCCTCACTTTATATGAAAGAAAATGAATGTAGGAGAATGGTTGATTACTTGGGAGTGAAATAGCAATCACATTGATGTGGGAGCCACATATATGAGAAACACTTAAAGGTAGGATGGAGATTGTGCAAATTTCTCATCAGTATTTGAAAATTGAAATGCAAAACATATATTACCACTGAATGGAAATGAGAAAAAAAGTGCAATTTTGTATCAGGTAGGGGGGTGCAAATATTATAATCACAAACGGATGTATACCTAAATGAGGTGCAAATTTTGCATCCAATTTACATTTGCACATTTGCACTACAAAAAAGAATAGACAGTTTTGATCATTAGGTTATATAACTATGTTTTCTTGCAATATATTGGGTTCACTTTCCTCATTGGCCTATTTACCAGGCATTCCGCTCAAGCAAGGACACTGAGGATGATCAATTAGGGGCCATTCCATACTAGCTGAAGTGACTGAACTGAATGACTTTTTGTTTTGTCATTTTAGTGGATAAAATAACTAAATAATAAAATTATTTGAGGTTATAGTAATCAAGCCAACTTAAGCTACAGTAATTAAGAGCTCACAGTCACAGCCTCTTTAATAATTTAGGAGTCATTTTGATAGACATTTTACTATTAGCCATTGGACTATAAAAATCAAATCTATGTCAAAGCATAATAGCCCAAAGTATTTTGGGCATTTGGTTGACTGATTTTGAAAACATAATAAACTAATTAAAGATCGATACTTTTTAGGTTCTGAGCACAAGTCAATAATCATTTTTTCACCAAACATAACTTTTGGGTTTTTCATATGAAGCCCACCTCCACCTTCCAAGAGTGGCTGCCCAATTAAAAGCCCTCCCAAACAGGTCTAGTCCACATGACAAAATTCATTAGTAGAAGTAAATTGCTATGGGACCAAAGTAGAGCAATTTACTTCTACTTAGGTGGTTTAGCTCTCTAATGAAAGAGTCTAGTCCACATGGCTGCAGTTATGGTGTTACATTTATTATATATGCCTGAAATGATTTATTAACAGTCTATATATTTACCCAAAAAAAAATCCATAAGCAATCATAAATAGATGAAATTTTAATAATTGATCTAGCAAAGGTTTAAAGTATCGATATATATCGGCCCGTATCAGTTGATACGTATCGTTTTGGGACCCCTCTGATACGCCCCTATAGTGGGTGTATCGGAGGTCTGACCGATTCAGGGGGTAGAGGAGACCTAAACCAGCCCCCTTGAACCAGTTGTGAAAAATAAAATAAAAAAAGGGACCAAAATGTTTATTGATTCGCCCAATACACCCCTATCAGCATATCAAGCATATCGATATTTTGAACCTTGGATCTAATCAAATAAATATCGTAAGAAGAAAGTAAAACAATTACAATAGAATTTACCAGTCAAGAAAAGTTGATTAGCTTGTACAATTTTAGTAATTGCACTCCTACCGTCTCTTTGATTTTTTTTTTTTTAATATCTACACACATAAACGCTTATGAACTCTTATTCTCTAAGTATAATGGTAGATTATTCTCATAAATATGATATACACATCAATCTTGTAAGAGTTGAAACAGACTAAAAACCGGAATGCACCAATGATCCCGGTTTTGTTGGTTAATAGGCAGTTCATTCATTCAACCTGCATAAAACCATAAATACCGTTGTTTTTAACTAGGACATGGAAAGGCAACTAGTTGCCAGCTTTTAAGGTTTGGACATCCTGTTCAAACCAAGTCTTACACCAACACTGATACAGATTATTCAGAAAACATCTACATTAATTCTAAAATATGATTAAAGACGAAACCACAAGTCAATAATCATTTTTTAAATTTGTGAATCCAAGCAACAACTCATTCGGCTCACCCATCAGCTGTTATAAAACGGCGCCATTGGGGTGAGTTCAGGAAGGGGCACCACCTATGGTTATGAAATCCCCAAAATTTTCCCACGTAAATCAACAACTTAAAAATACATCAAATTTCAAGAATGTTTTAGAAATAGGATTATAAAAATTTAGGAGTATTTTAAAAATGAGATTATAATATCTTAAAACTTTTAATAATTTGGAAGAAACTTGAAATATTTTAAATATTAATATTAAAATTTTGGATATTTTATTTATTTACCATCGTGTTTAACAGAGTTAAAAGAAATTATAAACAAACCCGTCGGCGTCCCCAGATCAAAAATATTTTCCCCTTTCGTCCCGTCCTCGTTTAAAATCGGGGAAAACCCGTCCCGGGGCGCGTCCCGGGTTTTACGGGGAAAAATTGTCATCCCTTCAGCCTTCTCTCAGAGAGTCAAAGGCCAGATTATGATTATTCTGTTTCTGTTATCGTCATCTCAGCCCAAAACAAATTGCCCAACAGTGAACTTTTTTGGACTGAGAAGTGAGAATTGAGCACAGAAACAAGCGTGGGCCCACCCTGTCCGCCACTGGGATTGCATCAAACGGTATATGATGGAAGGACATCAGCCGTACAGAAACTTCAAGGCGACACGTAGGTCCCACTGGTTCCCATTTTTATTTATCAGTGTTCCCATATTAATCAATCTTTTTGCGCCCCCCACTTACCCTTTTTGTCTTCTCTGAGAAGCTTCCCTCCACGCTTCCACCGCGTTCTTGACTACTGCAACACGAGAATTCAAACTATTCTCCCCTATTAATCAGGAGCGTTGGTTCATTTGTGGGACCCGTCTTACCATCCTTCCTTACATTTTTTTGATCGATCTTCAATATTTTTACTTTTACTTTCTCTTCTAATCATCGTGCGTAGATCTTCCGTCATCATACATCAGGCGACTACAATTCCTGTGGCTCTATTGGATCTTGACCGTCCATTGTAGTTAATTATTTGAGTGTCCAACTCAAAGGACGTCCGCGACACCAACAAGCATGCGTGAAATGACAAAAAAAAGATGTCGTCAATTATTAAAAAAAAAAACCAAAAACGGAGAAGCATTTGCCGTACAAATGATACAGTCCATTCAGTATACGGTTTTATTATAGTCAACAATAATTTTGATCGTACATCCTCTCGGCCCCACTAGACAAACATGATCGACGTGGCAGAACTGTCTCGACGTTGGACTCCTGTCGCTTGAGATGCAAATGTTTTGCGCGCTTTTCATGATTTGATGTGATGATGGCCACTACCAAGTCGGGAAGGACAGACTGAATGATACATTCTATCAACCTCTTCAACGGTTGGATTTGCATGTATACGTTCGCGTTAGTGGGTCGCCCTCCACCATTCACATGGACATGGGTCCATTCGCCTGAAGCATGAATCCTAAAGTTTTGGTGGGCCCTCAACAAACCGTTTAGTCCGTCAAGAAGTTAAACCAATCCAACGGCTCTTGATCATGTCTTCTAATGATAAGAATTGAGACTACAAGTAAATGAACATTCTTTTAAGTTTTTACCCAGTCTTCCTTTCACACTGTGTGCCTCGTTCTTGGGCTGATCATAGTTATATGGCCCACAGACCGAATTAATGAGAACCTACTTTATGGGTAAGTAATGGGCTTGAAATCTTCAATTTTCTTTCTGCTGTTCTTAAGGTTCAGGGTTTTAATAGAGGGGTTCGATTATGATTATCAGAAAGATACGATATTTAAAAATTTTTTGACCAATCAACTGATATTATAAATGGGATAGTCAATCAGTGTTATTTATTAAAATTTATGAATAGATTTTGATTGATCAAATTTCTTCCAATACCATGACTTTTCCGCATCATAAGTTTTCCCTTAATAAGAAGATTTCTGGAGATACAATGTCGTCGTTGCCTTGTTAATAAAAGAGTCATGGGCTCCCAGAATTTTGCCCAATAGACTAGAGCCCACAACCAATTCATCGAATCACTACATTACATTCCATTGAGTGTTTTGACGGTAGAGATCGAATGAGGAGGGGATTATACATATTTCTAGATTGATTGTACAGGTCTTTAACTAACCATTTGGTTGAATCATGACCGTTTGTTTTGTTTCATCCGGTAACATATGTTGAATTGATAAGAGATGATGAGACATGAGTGGGGCACATAGGGATTGATGGAGGCAAATCACGTTACATAATTAGATCTAGTTCTAGTTAAACATGGAGACTCCTGAGTCTTCTCCTGACTCCTGACTCCTGACTCCTGACTCCTGACTCCTGAGCCCGGTCTGGGTTTCCAATCATTTCGCCAGTCGACCTGCAAACCGACAACCTTGACTCAGCATCGACAAAACGGGAAACCTGCCGGCAGTTCTCCCACAGTAAATCAATGAAGTGGACACGTGTCAAGCATCTGACCGTCAGACTCTTTGACCTGATGACCCTGGTCAAAATCCTAGGGGAAGTAACGATGGGTTCGTCCAAGGTCCAATCTATATATCCTTCTCCTCTTTCCTTCAATTATCTATTTTACCTTTTTAACTTTTCGCCCATTTCACTCCAACCCCTTCTCGTCTCCAATAATCGCTTCTCAAATCTCAATCTTCTTTTATGCAGCTCCCATGGAGGACTTGGAATTAACTTCACGTTTGGAATTAACGATATCTGTTCCTGGTTTAGCTTCTTCTTCTTCTTCTACTCTTCCTCCCTCAGGTAAATAAGAAATAACACCTATTGTTTATTATTCCTTTTTCTCCCACCTCTGAGTTATGGGTATGAGAATTTGATGCTTTTGTTTCCTGTTTTTCAAGAGTTTTATCACTGTGTTCATTTATTCAAGTTCATGCCTTCTCTGTTTATGGGCTTTCAACTTCTTTTATGATTTGTAATGTGAAAACTTCTATCTTTCAATCCTTCTATTTTACTAGACCTTTCTTTTTTAATCTTTCTGTCTATCGATTTGTGTATGTCTTGGATCTGGTTTATAGCAGGGTTTTCTTCCATTTTAATTTTGCTTCTTTCTTCTTTTCCTCTCTTTTTGCTCACATCCAAGTAACGTTTTGTCTCCTTTTCTTTCTTCCTTTTTGATCAAGTTTATTTTGAGATGGAGTCTCTGGCCTTCAGCCAACACGTGAGTCTCTCTCTCTCTCTTTTCTCTTTATAGCTTTTTGGAGGTTACTGGATCAATCTTTTCTCTCTTAGTAGTTAGTCCGGTCGACTTATAAATTTTCGGTGTTTTTTTTTTTTATTTTTCTTTCTGGTTTCTAACGGATGGGTTTCATTGCTTATAAACATGGAAAAACACTAATTCAAGTCTTCTTTTTCCTTACAGATGGTGGCAGTGTGACGAGAGAGCTGGACATAAATCAAATCCCCTCTGGCACAGAAGAAGTAGGAAGTGCAGAAGAGGAAGAAGAGAGCGGTTTGGGTGGTGGTGAAGGTCCTCCCCGTAAGAAGCTCCGCCTCACAAAAGAACAGTCTCGTCTCCTGGAAGAGAGCTTCAGACAGAACCAGACCTTGAATCCTGTAACTCTTTCTTAGATGATAACCCTCTTCGATCATCATCTTCAGTGCAATTGCAGTTTATTTATTTATTTTTTCTTATCTGACAATTTTCCTATTTTGATCATTTGTATTGGGGGCAGAAACAAAAGGAAGCGTTGGCTTTACAACTGAAGCTGAGACCACGACAAGTCGAAGTTTGGTTTCAAAACCGTAGGGCCAGGTGCAAGCAAACTACGTACCCTCTTTACTGCGTTGAATCAATTCTCTTTCTCTTGACAATTTTAACCCTAATGATTTCACTAATTAATAACGTATCCGTTCCTACCTACCTACCCAGCACCCATAAAATATCATAATCGAATCAGATTCTGTTTCCGCCTAATAACACGTATTTCCCTTATTATTACTTACTTGTAAATCAAGGATATAACGTTAACATAAGAAACAGTGTGGTGTAACTTCAACATTCAATTCAAACTGACGTTTCATCATACATGGCCCTGCTAAATACAATTGATAAATCCAACGGTTGGGGTTAAACTTTCGTCATACTGTGCATGCATCAAGCATGCGAGAGAATTCTGAAGAGTGGATGAATTTGGGTTAGTAGCTAGAGGGTTGTTTTGGTCATTTTAAGTGATTTCCAATTTTCTTTTTTTTTTTTGTTAAAATATGTAGGACGAAACTGAAGCAGACGGAGATGGAATGTGAGTACCTGAAGAGGTGGTTTGGGTCGCTGACGGAGGAGAACAGGAGACTACAGAGGGAGGTGGAGGAGCTGAGGGCGATGAGAGTGGGTCCACCGACGGTGTTGTCGCCCCACAGCTGTGAGCCGTTGCCGGCATCGACGCTGACCATGTGCCCCAGATGCGAGCGCGTGACGAGCAGCGCCTTCGACAAGGGTCCCACTATTGCCACCACTACCAACACAACTGACCCCACCGCCACCACCTTGGCCTTCTCTAAAGCAGCACCGGTGCTCCACCAGTCTCGACAGCCGTCGGCGGCTTGTTAGTTACTCGAGCACTCATGGTTGGTTTGTTGGGGTTCTTACATGTAACACCAGAAAACAAAGATCAAAAGAAAGAAGGATTCACAATTCAGAAAGGCCATTAGATTATATATTACTCATTAGTGATGAGATTACTTTTTGATCTGTCGTCTGACTTTTTTTTTTTTTTCCTTTATCTTATTGAAGAACAAATGACTGTATATTCCATACACACCATTCCTCTCTCTCTCTCTCTCTCGTCACACCCATTACCCATTTATCCTATGATCCTATCCTAATTTCATATAATCCTATCTGACGTGAGATCGCAATTAAGAAGATGATTGGAGGGGATGGATCATTCATGGCTCCATGTTGCGTAATGAATGAGAGCTTGATGACGAGATGGTGGTGGTGATGGTCGTATCTGGAAATGAATCCTTCATTTATTATTAACATTTAACAACAACAAAAAGTGAAGCACATTTGATGAAGCTTAGCTTTTGCTAGGTTTAAAATTTTTCTTCGAGGACAAGGACGGTTTTGGCCTCTTCTATAATTTCTATTAAACTTTTATTTAAATTTGTGTCAAAGTTTTGGACTCTCCATATATATAGTATGAATACCGTTTGGAAGTAGAGAATAGTGGCATAATGACATGGGCATGTATGAGACATTTATAAATATAAATAAGATATAAAGCCTGATTGTCTAAACAACATTCATCTCTTATATATCTTATTTATTTTTTTTTCTATTTATTGATGTGTAATTAATTTCTATTATAGACTTTGAAAGGAATTCCGGTCAATCTCTCTCTCTCTCCAGAAAGACAGTCAAGATATTATATATGGGTATTGAGTTTTAATCTATTTGATAGTTGTATTCTTATGGTATTAATGTTGTAGGCCTTTGAGCCTAGCTATATATATATATATA